ACCTTAAGAAACTCCAGTCTAGACAAAATAGGTCAGTGCCATTGTTGGGTTACTTTGCAGTTCACAGTTTGAAAACTCTATGATTGATACTAATTTTTCTGTTTGGATTTATTCTGTCAGTGAGGTTAGAATGCAACGACAGCAAAAAAGCATTCAAGCTATTAGGAGCTACTACTAGCTAACGTTTAAACTAGCTGCAAGATCGATGGAAGCTAAAGCTGGTTTGAAAAAATGATAACCATGGTAGCAACAAAGGGAAGCTGTGTATTTACTTCAAGCTTATCCTAACCTAACTGCCATGGGTAGCAAGTCTGCACAGGGGTAACCAGGAATCCACGTAAGGAAATCTAGTTAGATTGATCAATTATCTTAAGCACATTTTATGTGATGCCTTGAAATATGTAAGGTAATTTATCCAATCTATACAACACATCTGTAAATTCAAAAAAGTTATGGGTAGGATCTTTGCATAATTAATTTACTACAAAACTGTCATCATTGACCGTCAGTATTGTGTGTGATTAATTTACACCTGAAGCTAACTATTATCTTTTCATTGCCCATTACTTCGATTAATTATATTGTTTTAAACTACGTAGCTGTAGTAAAGATGAATGGATTAAATGGTAAATGGACTGTTAGCGCTTTTCAGCATTCCAGCATTCACAGACATTCATACAGAGCAGAGGTTGCCACCTGCTCAGGGAGATTCACATTCACACACATTCACACAGTGTCACCATTGGGAATAATTTGGGGTTAGTATCTTTCCCAAGCACACTTCAACTGCAGAACTGTGGAGCTGATGCAATTGGTGGACGACCAAGCCACAGCTGGCACTAATTACGAACACCAGAAAATCCTTGTAAATGTGCTTTATGGAGAGTAATCGAATGATTGATAGTTTATAATAGAGGTATACAGATTTGAAATGCATTTTTTTGTGTGGAATACATTTAATTCAATAACACTTATAGAGCCATCTAGGATCTTTTATGACTACTATTTACTTTGTAATCATAACCTCATTGATGAAGTCCTCATCTCAACTCTATAATTAAATAAATATCTTAACAAACCTCACTCAAATTCTTAAATTACCATTTTCTTTACGTGAAATATGGCAACTTTGAATTGCATCAAATGCAGACGTGTATAAATGTGCTACAGAATTCTTTAGAAGAAGAGAAAAGCTAATTAGATTGTGCTTGCATGGGGAGAAAAGGAGAATAGATAAAATGGTGAAAGAGGAATAGCAGAAGGGAAGAAGAAGTGCGGATGTGGACAGATGGACAGGGAGTGTTTCGTTTAAACATCATCAGCATCCTCATCATCCATGTCAATTCTGTCCGCCGGGGACCCTCCGCTCACTGGGAAGATGATTTCTTCTCTCCGCAGAGAGATGGCCATCAGGGACTCAACTCTCTGCTGCACTTCTTTTCCCGACACAGTCATAAACACCGTCCTTCCCTCCCTATGCATAGCATTACTCCAATGATCAACAGCACACTTTAAACTAAGCCCATCCCCGGCTTCTCTTTATCAAGCTATTTTAGTTCCTTGGGGCTTGGTGATGCATCCCAGCTCAATTATCTCAAAATATTATGTATATGCATGTTTATTCTCTGTGTTCAGAATGATAGACTGTTAGCGCAGTGTTTTTAATATGTAAACCACCCTTGTCAACCAAGCTGGGATTGAGAGGCTACCAATTATTCGGCATCAGACAGTGAGAGATGATTATCTAGGTGAGGGACTTGGTTCATCCTCAGCAGCAAAGGAAGTGGCATATTGATTGGCCATCAGGGAGCTAATAACACAAGGTTATCTACATGTAACATGAGACAGTCTCCCTACTTAATACAGCAGCACTATCTAGATTTAATGTGTCCTTATAGCAATGAGCCAGGGAGGAGCGAAGGGTCGTGTGTCTTCAAGAACTTAACAAAGATCACGCTGTTGTGAAACCATCTACGGGGAGGCAGGAGGGTTCAATACAGTGCCATCACTGCACTTTTTAACAGATTATATGGACGCCTCCCACTGTTTGTGTTGATCACTGAGGCGGTGGTTTTTTAACATTTGCAGGATTTGTTAAAGTGACATATCAATAACAACAGTGTCAACGTCAGAGGTAAAGCAGAATACTTTACCATGAAATGTATAGCCTTAGATTGTCCTAGGAGGCTGAAATGTCTTTACGAGGTGGTACAGTATGTGTGAATGTACAGTATATGCTAACGCTCTAACGTGCTTTCAGCTACTGCAAATTCTCTCTTTTATCCAGCTTGGACTGTAGGGTCTTTTTAGAGAATGTGTAAACGCAGTTTACCAGTAGCCTAACGGTCTTCAGGAACTGTTGGTAAACAGCGAGTTTCATGACGGACAAACACAGTATTGAGTCCGGTCAGGTCCTGCAGCAGGTGAAATGCAGACTCACTATTGGTGGGCTTGATAACCCACTCCCACTTCACACTTGTTGGTTTATTACAGCACTTAATGTGGTGGACCCTCTGTGAACGCGCAAATAGAATGGTAGTGTGTAGGGGTAGGGTATAGGAAGTGGTTTGGAATTAGGCCATTGTTACTGGCCTACTGTGAAGGGATACGGTCCTTCTTACATCCAGGACATCACTCTACATTGACCTATCAACATGCTACTCCCTCACTGCGAGTAGGACCCTTCAACTTAAACACTTAGCTATCCTTGGTCCAAAATTATGGAGCAAGCTCCCCATTGATATCATCTTGCAGAAAGTCTGAACAGCTTACATCGCAGATAGAAAATCCACCTTGTTTCATTGCACCTTAGCTACTAAACTTTTAAAAATCGAGTACGTACAAGATTAAGTTCAATTGAGACTCACAACGGTTTGGCCCATTTGAAGCAAATGTACTTGCAAGGCTTCTTACTGTTTTCAGTTGCTTTCGATAAAAACGACCACTCAATGGAATGGATGGTTATATAATGTCATAAGATTCAATAATGAATGTCCTCTATGATGATGTTTCAATTTTTCTTTGTCTTTAGTATCTGTAGAAATCACACAATGTGTTTGGTTGAATGTGTCGACCAATCAAAGGCTCTCTTCCTGTCAATTAGTCAGAGTGTGTTTTTACAACTTTGTGGCAGCTTGATACACATTGCACAATGAGATATATCCCATGTTTCTATCCCCCGACCTATAGAGGCGCAGCATCTGAAATAATGAGTAGGATATCCTGACTGTAATATTGTGTAGATTGTCTTTTGCACATTTGTATAATATTGCAATGCAGACCGCAGTGGCAGTCAGAGGTATAAGGACTCATAAATCTTGTGTGTTTTATTTGAGTGCCTTCCAGACATCAGAAATCATAAAAAATACATTTAGTTAAATATGTTCAAAGCTTTAGGCCCTATCGCATGTAAGTGATTTTGTATTGTATTTAGGCTTGTCTGGACTTTCGATACACTGTGAATTTAGTGTACACGAAAAACAGCAGTTTTATGCGACCAAAGAAAATACAGTTTTTCTTGTTTAAGATAAGGCGCATATATATTTAAATTGTGTCACTCACTGTCACATAAAGCCCCGGCCGTACATGTGCACAGTGTCATAATGTGTGAGACGCTGTGACACAGTGATCTGTTGTCTAAACATAAATCACAGTGGCAGCGGAGAGAGACCATGTTTCCCTGTTTCTGTAAACCTTTAGAGAGCCGTTCTCCTGAGAAATCAACATGACCTCAAATGCGATGGTCCCCAGACACTTTCCAGGTCATGGTGGAGAATCGTGGAAATTCAATGCGTCCTCTCTCTCTCTCTCTGTCTTATTTCCCTTCTCTCAATCTTCTGTACATGCATGACTAGAAATGTATTAATACATTTACAAATAAGGAAACAGTCAAGAAAAAGAGGCCGGGAAAGGCTTGTAATTACGAAGGATGCTGGTGTGTTACATGTGTTAACATATTCCATCATAGACAACATTTGTTCCATTAACGCACATCTGTTTGAATTCACACATTACAAATACACACACGCATTGGAATACAGGTATCCATTTTTTACAGAGCAAAGCATTGGCGGTTCGCTGCCTTGCTCAAGAAAAGAAAATAAGTACACATCTATGGAACAAAAATAAGAAGCAGCATTATAAAATAGTGTGTAAAAAAAAAAGTAATAAAAGCATCTCTCATAGAGTGGTGACAATGTGTAAGTTTGGAGTGACAGCCAGTCATAACAAAAAATAAAACAGTGTAATTACGGGGAAATTAAATATTTCACAGAAGTAATAACTTAGAATAAATACATTGTAAAACAGTTTATAAAAATAGCATGAACCTTGCACATTCCCTGTATATGTTGTAAATCTCTGCCCAATACTACCTCGTTAAAACTGCACAGCTTTTTTTACTTTAAAGGGGACCTATCATCCAAAATGCACTTTTTGATGTCTTTTATACATACAAATTTGTCCCCGGTGTCAGGGAACTCACGCAGCGTCAGAAAATAAAATCCTCTCTCTTTTCCTCCGTACCCAAATCTCTAAAAACGGGGGTACAACGGAGCTGATCCATAATTGCGTCCGATATGACGTAGTATCAGAAATGTGGACCGATGGCACTATCAGAAAGTTGCTATCAGAAACAATGCTCGACTGTTTTGGACGTAATATGGTTGGTGTTTACATTAGCATCGCTAACACTCAGAGCTAACATGTACTGGAGAGCATGTGTGTGAAGAAGCAGGAAATAAAAAGGAACTCACCTTGTGGTATAACCGGCAAGAGAGAAAGCCTTTGAGCTCCATATTGTTTCAGAAATAATCCTTGATAATCCATGATATGGCGTTTCATCACCGCAGTATTTAGTTTAGACAGTAGCTGCCGGGTCCCGCATGAGCTCAGCCCCCTCCTTTTATTTATTTATCAATTTTTTTTTTTTGTAAAGCTTTATATCCCAAATCAGCACTTTTGAAACAGGAAGTGAAATAGAGGGATACTGTATNCTTCAAACTAGCAAAGTCCTGGCCCACCCTCAACATGTTGATCAAGATTATTGGTAACTCAGTGGGAGCTTTAGGAAATCTAACTTTGGTGCTGGCCATCATCGTCTTCATCTTTGCCGTGGTGGGTATGCAGCTCTTTGGCAAAAACTACAAGGAATGTGTGTGCAAGATCTCCACAGAGTGCGAGCTGCCACGCTGGCACATGAACGACTTCTTCCACTCATTCCTCATCGTGTTCCGCATCCTGTGCGGGGAGTGGATCGAGACCATGTGGGACTGCATGGAGGTGGCCGGAACTGGGATGTGTTTAGTCGTCTTCATGATGGTTATGGTCATTGGAAATCTAGTGGTGAGTGTAACAGTTATTCATCCACAGCTGATTCCTATCTTGAATCTGAGGGAGACATTTTTGATAAAATACCCCTTTATGCTGATTGGTTTGAAAGGAAACAATGAAGACCGTTACTCAGCTCAACAACATTTAGATTTAAAATAAAAACGTTTCTCAGAGTGTCATTATGACTGGGTTGCCAGTGTCTTTATAGTCAGTGCTTGCGTCAGCATGCAGTGAATCTCAAGATGATCATTACCAAACTCACACATGCCGCCACTCAACTTGCAACTGTTACTACTGTGAAGCTGTAAAGCTGACAAACTATTTTGTCAAATCTTTCTAAATCTAACAGTTATCTTAATATAATGCTAGGAGATTGTCTGCATATCTCGGCAATCTATTGTTAACCCTCCGCAGAGAGAGGCCAAGGATAGGCACACACAACTGGGGAGGAACATTGTATCCACAAGGGGTCATTGTTCTATCTGAAATATTAAAATATACCATTCACAGATTGTAATATTCAAACATCCCTATGCATTATTTCACACACTGCCTTGGTGAACTTTTGGGTGCTTTAAGAAGAATCCTGAAGGTTTGGAGCTTTTGATCAGGCCTCACAGAAGAAGGATATGGGATGGATAAAACATGATGATCACACTGTCATGATTTCAACATTGTATGTAATGACTAGAGCTGAAACTATTTCCGGTTAGGTTATTCATAGAAATGGAAAGGAAGTGGCCCATCGTCACTCTGACAAAAGTATTGCAATGACCACACCGTGCCAACATTTTCAAAGCTTTTTTGTGATGCACAATATCTGCTCTGACGTAAAGATACACTTCTTCAAGGGAGAGGGGGCTTTCTATTTGAATCAAATGACTCGAGCCACCAAACAGTGGCTTTGACCTTGAGTATGTGCTAAGATCCGGCTCAAGGAAGCATGCTGCCACTAAAGGGAACAAACATAGACAGCTGAGCGAGCAGAGCTCATGGAGCAGGGGGACGTGGTGTTAAGGAAAAGTGATTTGATAGAAGATTAAAGCGTAAATGATGAAGAGGTAATAATATTGGGCCATCAGCACAACTGCGCATGGAGTGTATATTACTGGTATACGTTTTCTCTTTATGTGTAAAATGCCCCTGAATTCCCAATATCTATTCTGCAATCTTTATTGACTTTTCACATCCACGTTTTTGCCTTAGCACAAAGAAAACGACTACTTTTTTTAACAATTTGTAGGCTAGATGTTATTTTAAGGGCTCAGATGAATATGATTATAAATAAGCATACGGGATTCTTTCTAAAAGCTCTCAGTTTAATAGTTTGTTGTGTGTAAGACTTTTTTGAACGATGAACGATACTGACGCTTGGATGAAAAGCTACATCCACTAGCCAGTTAGCTTAGCATTACACTTTTAAACGGGGGGAAAGCTAGCTTGAGAACATCTAAAGCTTACTTTAGAGGCTCACTTCTGAGTACAGATTAAACAAAGAAGTCCATGTTAATTAAAGGCATTGGTAGGCAGATTTATTTTAAAATTTGGACAGGCTAGCCGCTTCTTACTGTTTAGCTCTAATGCTAAGATGAAAAACAATGTCATCAGTTACAAGAACACAATATGGGTAAACTAAACGTTATTGTAAATCGTCTTAGAATTTTCACAAATACTGGAAAGCTCTGTAGCATTTTTCCACTCCTCCGTCGGGCTTGTGTTTTGAGCAGCTCATCTTTTCCTCCAGTCCTCTTTACTGATTCACAGCTCCCTCACTGGAATGATGGAAATCAGCCTGCCATGTAATCGTGATCCCCTGCTAAACCTGGGACATAGGAACCGAGAAAATTACTAACAGGTTTAGTCACTAAAGATAGCTGCGTCTGCAACAGGAGGCAGATGACATAATATTCATTATTGTGCCATCACAGGGGAAATTTGACTTGTGAATCTGATTTAGTCCGGACTTTTCTTTTCTTCTTTTTATTTCATATCAAAGAAAAATATTTTGGTGTTTGGGACTAACAAAAAACAAACATTTAAAGACAGAACGGTTGACCAGGAGTTTTTTATTTAAAAAATATTTTCTGTCCTCTACAGACATAATTATTACATAAATTGCCAAATAGTCTATGATAAAATTAGTACTTATTTTGAAGCCGTAGTAGGCATACTTTGACTGTGCAATTATACAATTCTCCAGTTGGGATTCACTCACTCTCGATAATGATTTATCTATTAATCACAGATATAAAATACAAATATATAGATATTTCATATAGGCTACTGTAGCTTCCTACAGATGGTGTGCATCTCTTGCTGTGCAATTATTTAGTTTTTCACACAAAGCTACACTAGGAAATTGATGATATTGTGTTATTTACAATGCTGTTATACATTTACATAGTGTGTTTATCATTACCTTCATGTTTCTTTCTTCAGGTGCTGAACCTCTTCCTGGCCTTACTGCTCAGCTCATTCAGCGGAGACAATCTCTCAACAGACGAAGACGGAGAGATGAACAATCTCCAGATCGCCATTGGCAGGATCACACGAGGCATTGACTGGTTCAAAGCGTTCCTCGTTCGATCCATCCTCCAGATTATCAATAAAAAGCCCAAGGACAATGAGGAGGGTCCGAATGAAGACGAGGACCCTAAAACTGAGGGAATTGAAATGAACCACTTTGACTCCAGTCAACATTTCAAAATGGCTGATGGGATACCTAATTGTTTGGTTGAATGTGGGCCTTCTGGATTAATTGTGGATGGAGAGTTCAGTCTAAATGTGCCAATTGCTCAGGGAGAGTCAGACTTTGAAAACATGGATGAGGATGATACTGATGATGTTGATGATGCTGATGACTCAGAGTTTTCAGATGAAGAACATAATCCACATTATTCGGTAAGTACAGTCACTTTTACTCATCACACAAACAAATACAAAAATGACACCCAAAATGACCCATTCTGCATCTCAAAGCATGCAGTTCTTGTGTTTAAGATGCAATGTGGCATGTAGCCTAAGTAATCAACCATAAACATGGTCCTTCTTTTTGGATGTGAGTTATCCATTTTTGGCTATTTAAAATAATGTAATTTGTAAGTTGCCTGCCATTTGATGTGTTTGCCTATCAAAGTGGGGTCTTTTGAGATTTTTTCAACATCTGATTATACTGCCCTGATTGACATTCAATTGACATAGAATTACAGTAGTAGAACAGACTGAACTGTTTTCACTGGTGATTTGACTAGAATGGTTGGTTGTTGCGGTTAGTTATGGTGAAAACAGTTTGGCTTAAAATGTGTTTGTTGATCGACAAAAATGGATGTCTTGCTTGTAAGCTAGTCCTTCTTTGGAGTGGCGGGACGTGGGGAGGACGCACTGTGAGACCCAGAGCTGCAGCCGTCCGCTATTCGCCTTGTTTTCTTTAACGAGTGTAGCATTTAAAGTTTGGCGCAACTAGCTTGCACAGCTAGCTATCTTGCTAATTTAGCTAGCTAACATAACTAGTTATCTTGCTAATTCCACCATGATTTAGTGCCTCAATGGTTACAGAAAAGGAGCCAAAGAAAGCTGTTACGCATCTGGCTCTAGCATTGTTTCCTTCTTTGTATTGAACATTTGGATCAACCTCGTAACATTTTACGAATTTACTCTGGCTCTGTATGCTTACACTATTCAACCCGCTCCAGTCTCACGGCATTTTGTGTATAGTCACAATAGTTAATCTATTGATTCGTGTTCACCAGCACAATTTCCCCCTTTTTTTCGTGTCACACAGAACGCAATGTATTTCTATTGGTAGTATGTTTCGTGCCTGCATCACGTATTTTTGTCCGGTCGGTTCTTGGAAAACCGGAAGCTGTGTGGTTCATAAAAACATTTTCTTAGTCAATATCAAGACACGATTATTGGTTTTATTTTAAATCGTATAATGTCGGACTTTTTTTGCCGTCCGTGAAGAAAATAAATGGGGCTCAGAATACTGTAATATGTATTTTAAAAATATTTTTTTCCTTCCAATTTGTTATTCTTTTCTAAATAACACACTGTTATTTATTCAACAATAACACACAATTATCCTTGTTATTTATTTGTTTAATTCTATAATATCGGGCTTTTTTGCCGTCCGTCAGGAACTGAATTTCAAAATAAAGTCACCGGAAACAGACGTGATACACAGCAACTGAACTGATTACCCAAGATCCTCAGCTATGGTTGAGGCTCGGTATTTGGATGTTTTAGCCGCAATGCACGTTGGGATATGGTGTTAATGCGAAATGAAATAACTATCAACAGAATTGCGTTGCCAGGCAACAGCTTGGGGTGAGAACAGTATTTCCGGTCTCAAAGTTTGCATAGTAATCTGCAGTACTCATCAACTAAAAACATCAGTTTATCCTTGTTAATTACACAACATTGATTGGTTTAAATTGTGTACAATGCTTTTGTGTTTTCCCCCTTTGATCCGGAGAAACAAATAGTTTTTTCTAAGTTTACGATGGCCGAAGACACTACACTACCCATAATCCTCAGCTATCGTTTGGGACTACAGTCCCTTTGCTTGACAAACCCCGTGATTAATCTTCAAGCTCTGTGATTGGATGTTGGAGTGGCAGTGTGCCAAGGTTACGCCGAGCGTCAAACAGCTCTATGAAATGGAATGAAACCACGGCAGACTATCCAAAACTGGACTTGAACGGGTAATGCATCCGAACCGTGTATTACAATGCCGTTATGTGATGACTTTCAAAGAGAAAAGCAAGCACACTCGGAATAAAGTTTAATTTTTTTACGTTTTCAGATTTCATATCGCATAAACACCTTATCCCAACGTGCATTGCGGCTAAAACATGTAATCACAGAGCCTCAACCGCTGAGGATCTTGGGTAATCAGTTTAGTGGGTGTGTATCGCCTACTCTGTTTCCGGTGACTTTATTTTGAAATTCAGTTCCTGACGGACGGCCAAAAAGCCCGATATTATAGAATTAAACAAGTAAATAAAAACAAAGATAATTGTGTGTTATTGTTGAGTAAATAAAAGTGTGCTAGTTAGAAAACAATAACACATTTAGAAGGAAACAAATATTTAAAAAATACATATTTCAGTATTCTGAGCCCCATTTATTTTCCTCACGGGCGGCAAAAAAAGTCCGACATTATACGATTTAAAATAAAACCAATAATCGTTGCTTAATATTGAGTAAGAAAATGTTTTTATCAACCACACCGCTTCCGGTCTATCAAAACCCGACCGGACAAAAAGACGTGGTGCAGGCACGAGACATACTACCAATCGAAATACATTGCTTTTAAAATAGTTCTGTGTGACACGAAAAAAAGGGGGAAATCGTGTTGGTGAACATGAATCAATAGATTAAATGTCGTGACTATAACACGAAATGCTGTGAGACTGGGTTGTACTATTCCACTGCTTGTTTAAGTTGTCAAAACAAAAGCCTCAGTGAGTAATTAACTGCAAGTAAATGTATATACATAAATTAGCCCATTGCAATTTTGGCCGCCGCTGTGCCCACCCTGCTGTGTTGATTTGAAATAGGAATGCAATGTTCATTCTACTCTTCTTCTTTTTCTAAGCCTCTAACACTGTGATTAGGCATGGTCAAATTACATTTCCGCTTAACACAATATATAAGCACTTGGGAAACGATACGGTGCCAAGTTTGTGATGCAGGTAGCAAATAACAATTGATGCTATGATACATTTTTAATCTAGCAGCGTGATGATGTACTTAATATAAAATCTCAGTCAGGCAATCTCAGTAGCCTCTATTTAGTACATTTAATTAAATAATGTTATATGTTGTTATCAGAACAAGCACCTCTGCTAAGTTCAAGTTGAACAAATAAGGTATAAACAGACGACATAAGTTGCTTAAAAATCAGATAGGTATACACACAAAGCAAAGCAAATGTAAAAATACACATTGGAAACTTCTGTGTTTGACGTTTACTAAAGTTCATTCTCTGCTCTTGTGCTATTTCAGGAAAAATATAAAGATGTTCATTGTTTACTGGGAAATATCAAAGTGAGTAACTCCGAAAAATCTCACATGAACAAATCAAAACTTTCTATGGGCTGAAAATAAATGTGTGTGGGGGGAGTCAATAATGTTTATTTACATGGTGGCTTTGTAACTGAGCTTTAATTGTAATTCTTGACTAGCTGATGGGTGCTTTGAATGATGGGGATTCCTCAGTGTGTAGCACAGTGGACTATCAACCACCTGAGCCTGAGCCAGAAGAAGTGGAAGAGGAAGAACCAGACCCCGTAGAGCCGGAAGCCTGCTTCACTGACAGTATGAGAAATCATCGTAAAACAGAGTAATTTATGCACACATTTTAAAATGATCTTCAACTAACCTGTTTTGCTCCTCTCCATTCAGGCTGTATTAAGCGCTGGCCATGTCTGACTGTGGACATAACCCAGGGTAGAGGCAAAAAATGGTGGAACCTCAGGAGGGCTTGCTTTACTATTGTGGAGCATGACTGGTTTGAAACCTTTATAATCTTCATGATCCTCTTGAGCAGCGGGGCTTTGGTAAGTGCCTTTAAAAATTTTTTTATCATAGTGTTAAGATACTGTATTGGCATTAGAACACGTGTTTAGGTATCTCTTATTGTCTTTCGGCAGGCATTTGAAGACATATACATAGAAAGACGCCGCACCATCAAAATTATTCTGGAGTATGCTGACAAAGTTTTCACCTACGTCTTTATCATCGAGATGCTGCTTAAATGGGTCGCGTACGGCTTTAAGACCTACTTCACTAACGCCTGGTGTTGGTTAGACTTTTTCATTGTAGATGTAAGTTTTGGCACCCTTTTTTCCCCCTTTTTTTTCCTTTTTAACCTATCTGTATGTACTTAACAGAATATGTGTTCACACATGTTTCATATCAGTGTCTGTTGTAACCCTTGAATAGGAAATGTTTTGATTCTGCCACAGATTTCCCTGATTAGTTTAGCTGCCAGCTTTATGGGATTCTCTGACCTTGGACCAATCAAATCCCTCCGGACTCTCAGGGCCCTAAGGCCTCTTCGAGCGCTGTCAAGATTTGAAGGCATGAGGGTACGTTTTGTGGCTGTGCAACCATATTTGAGGGATGTGTATGGCTAACCAGAAAATCTATTTAAAATAAATAGACATAATTGACAGGGGTCATCTAAAGTTTTTGGATTTAAATATTTTGTGCTCAAATAGAAAATAGTTCTTTTGATATTTTAATTTGACTTAACATTTGTATATATTTATCCCACAGTTGCATCATTGTTTAATGTGCTACCTACCTCAAAAATATGAGTGCAATTAACCTTGATTAATTTGCCAGTAAATGTTGCCGCTGGTACTCTTAAGTGGGATTTCAAAATGACATTTACTTGTAATAGAGTATTTTTGCATTGTTTTGCATACCATACTAATTGGATTGGCTTTCCTCTCCAATGTGTGTTAAATGCATGCTTACACTGTGGATGCTGTACCAGAACTAACTGAGGTAAGGGTACATATATAACTTTCTGGCAATAACAAGCTTGTTTCTCACTCTAACAAACTAAATAAATATTTGTTTACATTTGTTTATAATCCCGTTATTCTAACAAAGTCTTCTCTTGAGAAGGTGGTGGTGAACGCTCTCGTTGGTGCTATTCCCTCCATCTTCAACGTGCTGCTGGTGTGTCTGATCTTCTGGCTCATATTCAGCATCATGGGAGTTAACCTGTTTGCTGGGAAGTTCTACCGCTGCATTAATACCACCACGTCTGAACTTTTCCCCATGTGGGAGGTCAATAACCATAGCGACTGCTTGCTCCTCCAAGAGGCAACGCAGGAGGCCCGCTGGGTCAATGTCAAGGTCAACTATGACAATGTGGGACAAGGCTACCTGTCACTGCTTCAAGTGGTGAGGAGTGATGTTTTCGTTATTATAGTTGGAATTAACATTGTTGTAAAAGCTTTTGAATAACATGTTTTGAAACACTGCGCCTTTTTTTTCAGTCAACTTTTAAAGGCTGGATGGACATCATGTATGCTGCTGTTGACTCAAGAGAGGTAGTTATTATTTATATTATTATATTGACCATTAAATATGTTGGGAGACCTTTAATCTTTACTCACATGTATCAGTACTGACTACACTTGATAATTAAGTTAAAATAAACCTGTGTAAAGCACGATATGAGGAAAATATGTGATAATGTACAATACAACTAACCATTTTTATTATACTGATTGTTTCATTTTGAAGATCAGCTTTCTTCTGATACCAAAAGATCCCCGAATACAATATAGAAAGTTGACATTGTGATGATAATAAAATCAAATATATAATGTGCTGAAGACCCTTAATTTATTCCATGTGCTATATGTTTATGTTTGCTTTTGGTAAATTACACAATTATTTAGTTAACATATAATATATCCCATAAAACTTTGCAAAACTTACACTCAGTACCTTTTTTTTAGATTTATGGAAATTAGCAACATTAACAAATCGAAGTCAAGAGTTCAAAAACTCGCCTTCTCTTTCCAACACCCTTGCACTTTGAGATAATTGAATATATATGTAATATATACAGTAAGTGACAGATGCTGATGGTGCAGTCTTGGATCAACAAGTGCCCTTCCTGACCAGTATCATATTCCTGTTTAACCTTTTCTCCTGTATCTTCTCTACTCTCGAGCATCTCTCACAAGAATCTAATTGATTATTTAGTAACAGGGAAAGGACAACTTTGTATTGAACTATTTATATTCATTCAAATATGTTCTTCCTTTTTAGGTAGAGGAGCAGCCTTCTTATGAGATCAACCTCTACATGTACATTTACTTTGTCATCTTCATCATCTTTGGCTCTTTCTTCACACTCAACCTCTTTATTGGTGTCATTATTGACAATTTCAACCAACAAAAGAAAAAGATAAGTATCACAAGTCTTTGGAAGTAGTAGTCTGTAACAATTAAATTGTGATTTCTTTGTATTTCAATTTATACTTAGCTATTTAAACACCAATAATGATGTTTGAATGTATGTCTGCACTTTGGAGATAAAGACATCTTTCTGACTGAGGAGCAAAAAAAGTACTATGAGGCCATGAAGAAACTTGGTTCCAAGAAACCGCAGAAGCCAATTCCACGTCCAACGGTATGTCATTCATTAATAACTGATAGCAATATTAACAATTTGGTTTTTACCCACATTTTTCACGACTTCAATGAAGGATATGAAACTTATTTCTATGCTAAAACTGCCTTAATTCACTTAAATGTTGGCCACAAATGTATTAAAAAAGCTACTTATTTGGCAGAATGATTATTACAAAGGTGTTCCTTGGGTTGGTCACATTTAAAACGGCATATATATATATATATACAGTATATATATTGCACATATTGCACATAGTTGGTTGGTATTTAACAGCAGGGTGTGTGTGTGTGTGTGGCTGGCTGGCTGGCTGGCTGGCTGGCTGTGTGTGTGTGGCTGTGTGTGGCTGTGTGTGGCTGTGCTTGTTGTATAGTCTGACCGCTGCACGAAGGAAGGACCTGCGGTATCTCTCCGTGAGATAGCGGGGGTGAAGCAGCCTGTCGCTGAAGGAGCTGCATAGACTTTTAGAAACCTGGAAGCTTGTTGTCCTCTGCTGAGTCTTGAACCGACAGCAGTTTTTCAGCGTTACAGAATCTAGTTGTAAAAAGGCTTATCTTCGATGAAGCCTGCCACTTTGGAGTCTTCTTTTCGTGGATGTTTGCAGTGTTGCCAAACAAGCATATAATGTAGCTCTTATAACGGCCGAATCAATTCTTTACGAATGCTTTATAAATTCTGATTTGGGGACACCTGTGTAATCTTTGCACATGATTTTGAGATAAATAAGCCTTTTTTTTTGCATAGAAGAAGTCTAAGTCTTATTTTATTTTATTTTATTTCAACAAAATTGGGACGAAAACAAAAGGGTTGCATTTATATTTTTTAAACAATGCAACACCAACGTTGTGACACATCAGCTCAGCATGTGTGGTATGCCATCTTGACCTGTGACCTATGTGTTGACCCCTTACCCTGCACATGGTGTGAACAGGCCAACTGACCCTGTTGGATTTGTGTTTCTGTTCCTTGCCTTCCCTTTCACCTGCAGAACCCAATCCAGGGATTGGTGTTTGACTTCATTAGCCAGCAATTCTTTGACATCTTCATCATGGTGCTCATCTGCCTCAACATGGTGACGATGATGGTGGAGACGGACAACCAAAGTGCAGAGAAGGAAGATTTCCTTTTTAAAGTGAACGTGGCTTTCATTGTCGTGTTCACCGGAGAGTGTTCGTTGAAGCTCATTGCCCTGCGACAATACTTCTTCACAAACGGATGGAACGTTTTTGACTTTGTTGTGGTCATCTTGTCAATAGCCGGTAGGTGAATTGAAGTTCTTAGAAACCAAAAATTGCTACTGTGTTCAAACAGACAATAGGTGTTCATTATTGTCTCTTTTTATTTCAGGTACAATGCTCTCAGACATCATTGAGAAGTATTTTGTGTCACCAACTCTGTTCAGAGTCATCAGACTAGCAAGAATAGGCAGGATTCTGCGTCTTATCAAAGGAGCCAAGGGCATTCGGACGCTTCTCTTTGCCCTAATGATGTCACTTCCCGCCCTATTCAACATTGGCCTCTTGCTCTTCCTCATTATGTTCATCTTCTCCATATTTGGCATGTCAAACTTTGCCTATGTCAAAAAGGAAGCTGGAATCGACGATATATTTAATTTCGAGACGTTTGGTGGCAGTATTATCTGCTTGTTTGAGATCACGACCTCTGCCGGCTGGGATGCACTTTTACTTCCAATGCTGGATAAGGAGTTCCCAGATTGTGATCCAAATTTTGAGAACCCAGGCACGGATGTAAAGGGCAACTGCGGCAATCCGCTCATGAGCATGGCATTCTTCTGCAGCTACATCATCGTCTCATTCTTAGTGGTGGTCAACATGTACATCGCCATCATCTTGGAGAACTTCAACGTGGCGCAGGAGGAGAGCGGAGATGCGCTCTGTGAGGACGATTTTGAGATGTTCAATGAAACTTGGGAAAAGTTTGACTTGGACGGAACTCAGTTCATTGAGTATAGCCAGCTCTCAGATTTCTGTGATACCTTGCAGCCGCCACTGAAGGTTGCCAAGCCCAACCGAATTCCCTTAATGGCAATGGATCTGCCCCTGGTCATCGGGGACAGGATCCACTGCCTGGATGTCCTGATGGCCGTCACACAGATGGTCTTGGGAGACACGCTGGAGATGGCGGCGATGCGGGAAAGCATTGAGGCCAAGTTCATCCTCAGCAACCCAACCTCAGACTCCTTTGCGCCAATTACCACAACGGTGCGCCACAAAGAAGAGGAGATGGCCGCTGTGGTCGTTCAGAGGGCTTACCGCAAACACCTGCTGAAACGCTGCACGCGCCACGCCGCTTTTATGCAACGATGTAAGAGGAAGGGTCAAAAGGACGAAGGTGAAAATCCTCTAGAGAAAGAGGGAATGCTCGCACGAAGGATGGGGGTGCTCTATGGCAGCAAATTGGACCTTGCAGAGGAGATGGAGCAGGCTGATATAGAAACTCTAGCAAACCAACAGCCTTCTAATCCAGAGACACTTTCAGATGACACAGAGTCCCAAAGTGACACAGAACCCCCCGAGCCAAATGTAATTGTTGTACCTGTAGAAATAACAAATGAGGTTTTATTACATTCTGCCCCTGACCCATACCTCTTTTACCTACATGCAAATCTGAAAGAGACAATTGTATGACAGAAGACAATTTATAATGTCCTCCTCCTGTTTTTCCGCAACCAAGAAAGGTGTGTCACTAGTTGAATTTTCCACATAAGATGTTACACAGTGCTAATGAATCTTTAAACATGCTTATGCATCTTAAACATTAATTAGTATTTTATAATTGGAACTAACAAACAATCCCTGTTCTTAAAACAATATGCTGGTGTCTTATTGGGTTAAAGATGCAACTGGAGTACATGGATTCTTTTGATAATAGACCATAAAGCTATTAGCAAATTTAACCACAAACCATTGGTCCCCAAAAACCATTTAGTATGATTTGAGAAGAAAAAAAAAGAAGTCTTCTGATTTGTCTAAAAAGTCTTAAAAGCTATACTGTTCTGGCAGTACATATTACACAGTAGGCTACATGACAAATCTTACTTGTGTTTAAATTCCCAACTTTTAGACACATTTACAAAAATGCTCACCCAAGACTAGTATAACAAGAAAAGCTGTCTTTTTAGCCAAAAATGTGATGTTCTCTGTAGGTAGGAATTAAAAAAGTTCAGTTGCATGCACAAATGGATTATCGCTCAATCAGAAGAATACCTATTCATTAGCTAAATTACTCAAAATATCCAAAATCAAGCAAAGTTCCTACTTAATTTAAGTCACTTTTATGTGGAATCTCAACAATGTGATAGCCCAACATGCTTATTCTTTCAATTAAACATTGAGTTAGTTTTGTACATATATCTGAAAGATAAGGCTTATCTTGATCACATTTATCCCAGTTATACTTTATAAGTTAACAATAACATGGGCCGGCTAATGCGTTTAACAGGCCCAGTTTATATTGCACTATTTATATCCCTTCCAGGTCAAGTTAGAGCAGTTTTAAGACCTTCCTGTTTTCTAAGATAATTTCCTCCCTGATTTATGCATGTCATATCAACGTTTGTCCATTCTTTTGTTGTTCCCCTCAAATAGATCTCAACCACTGAAACAAGCCGCTTGTTTTCCGTTTAGGTATTTAGACTAATACACTTTGACACTTAACGTAAGATGTTGTGTTTACATGAACGGCTTCCTGTTAAGCTATATCGTTCTTTTATAGAAGAATAATTCTAGCTAACAGTATACATTTTAAATTAAGGTTTGCCTCAGGTTGGATGAAGTTAGACCTGATGTTAAATGATTTTATGAAACAAAGCTGAGTGTTGGTTTAGTTGAATACACAACTCTGAATTTATTGGAATACGCATCACACCTATTTGCATATTTACCCCAAAAATCTGGACGATATGTTCTTGAAGTCCGTCCCAGCATGGAAAGAATGCTTCACTTGCTGTTGTGTAAGTCTTAACCTAATCTAAAACGTCTTACTCTGAATATACATGATCAACAAAAGCACTTTTACAGTTTTCTAGTTTGTTTTTTTACAATAGACTTTAGCAGGTTGTCTCTTCTCCTGTTTATGTGTTCAGCACTGTTTTAACATCAACCCTGGGGGGTTAATAAATCATGAAGTCTCCTTAAGTCTCCTCTGATGGTACGGTACAATTCACAACCCAGTATCCTCCTTTTGTTTACACTACTAATGGAGGCAGTGCGTTACTGTTACACACAGTCAGTGTTGCCTGTATATACATTGTTTTCTTTATTGTATATTTATATCATTTTGTTATTTTGAAAAATGTTACTATAATGTGAAAAATAAAATACTTCTTATAGGGAAAAGTGGGCTGTGAGTTTGTTGTCACTAGCAGTATTTTGTGGAACTACTCTGGGGCCCTCTGGTGGTTTACAATGATGACTGTTAAACTCAACCTTTTTTTAGTTGAGTAGATTTTCCTATTCTTCCATTTGTACAGTGTTTTTTGAGATATCGCAAAAAGAAAAGTTCAGGTACAGTTTAATCAGAGGTGGAAGAATTACTTACATATTTTACTTAAGTAGAAGTACCAGAGTGTTGGAATACTCTGTTACAAGTAAAATCCTTCATTAGAAATGTTACTATGTTGTAAAAGTATTTGCATCAAAACATACTAAAAATATCAAAAGTAAAAATAGTCATTATGCAGATTGGTTCATTTCAGAATAATATATATGATATGTTTTATAATGATTGATCATTCAAGTGTTCTCAAAGCTGGTAAAGGTGCAGCTAGTTTGAATGACTTTGTATACTGCAGGGTAGCTTGTGAATTTACTCCAGGTGGAACTAAAGTCTGATTTAACACTTATATTTCACATCATTCATCCAGATCTGTAAAGTAACTAAGGGTGTTAAATACATGTAATGGAGTAAAAGTACATTATTCACCTCTTAATTGTACTGGGGTAGAAGTACAAAGTAGCCAAACATTTAAATACTCAAGTAAAGTACAAGTATCAAACAATTGTACTTAAATACAGTACTTAGGTAAATGTACTTAGTTACTTTACATCACTGGGTTTAATACACATTTAAGTTATCAAAATATTTATAGTGGTTGTAAATGTGCGTGGGGCTTATTCTAAATTAAAATAAATCATAAATGGTTATGAAAGAATAAATGAAACTAACATGAAAATGAATATAAAATCAAATGTTAGCAACATTTATGCACTATGGTACAAAGGATTAAGTGATATCGGCTTTAAGATACAGCTCTGAAAAAAATTAAGATACTGTACCACTGCAGCATTATCCGTTTCTCTGGTTTGACTATTTCTAGGTATTTGTTAGATTAAAACATTTTATTTTAATTCTACAAACTACTGTCAACATTTCTCTGTGTTGGAATTCAACAGACACTGAAATGGAATGGCTGACATACATGTAGAGATTTAAGAAAACTTTGGAGTGGTCTCTTCATTTTTCTAGAGCTGTACATACATTTGTCAAATTGTCATCTCCAGTACTGACATGTTGCCTCCTAAACAGCTGCTCATTTCAGCACTATATAGCGACTCGCTTGCCCAGTTGCTATTTTTTGTACTTGATTGACAACAGACGAAAATAAGCACTGCCTCTTACAAGAAATAAGGAGGTGGGGTGATTTATTTGCATATTTTTGTGGTTGCACGCTATGCCTTGCCCATGCTGACTGAAGTTACTAAAAGAGGATGTGCAGGGGCTCTCTTTTTGGCTGCCTAGTTGAGTAATGCTGTTCATTCCCAGTGGTTTATTAAATCAGGAAATCTGTCAGTGCAGCAGGCAAAAAGAAATCTGGGCTACAACCAACATTTATTTAAATTGTTGATTTATATGCTATTATTTTTGGGATATTTGGTCCATAAAAAGACCAGAAGAGTGAAAATACTCTTAGTTAAAGGTGATTTCTTCAAATGTCTTGTTTCTACCATTTATCGCTCATTGGACTTATGGTTGCAGTTCCCTCCTCTTATGGCTTTGTTGGATTTAAATCATTTGTGGGCAGCCACCATTGCTTATCAAAATGAACACGTGAAAATGAAAGAGTGACTCCCCAAAGCTTGACTGATTTTGTGAGTCACCATCATTTAATGTAAATAATGGTTTTTTTACGGGAGTCGCAGAATTTTCTGTCATGGTCTGTGGAGGCAGCAGTTTATCTTTTACCCACACACTGCAAACTGCCCCAGCTCAACACGGTAGATAAAAAAAAACGAGTGTGTCCAGATGCATATTTGCTTAGGGAAGTCAAGAATATGCTCAAACATCTAAGTCATTATAAGGCAATATCTGGAGATGATCAGAATCAAAATCAGACTACCTTTATTTATCCCACAGAGGGGACATTTACATTGTTACAGCAAAAGTGAAGATATAGACCAACAAAATAAAACACCATTAGAAAGGGCATGCACATAATATTTGAATAATTTAAATTTAAAATAAAGTTATTTCAATTAACAAGTAACATTCTTCATCAATTTTCAATTTACATATTGCACACAAGTATTATTGGACAACAGTGGTGTCGTATTCTGTGTTTGTTTTTGAGTTTTTACATCATTACACGTTGGTGTAAAATCACAACAGGGGTGTCATAGTCTGTGTTGTTGTGAGTGTGCTACAAGGCGCCGTTGGCTGCAGGAAGGACCATAACCGTATACAAAAGTGTTGCAATCCATGCATTAGTTGACGATATTTAAGTCTGGCCTAGGCAACTCAAGATCTAGGCTTCAATACACACACATACGCACCAAAAGCCATTATTTCCCTTTGTGTTTTACAATGTTAAAAATGATAATTATGATTTTCATCATCAGATGAACAACAAAGGTCCTTTCTTTTATATTAAAGGCTAATCATTATTTCACTTAGAATGTATTAAATAAAGTTCCTGTTTTAATGTTTATTTATTTAGTTAGGTTTTTTTCCACTGGAAAACTTTGACTCCCTTTTTAAATGAAAAGTAGCCAACATAAAAAGTAATGTTGGTGTTATGATACTGAAACTAGATATTATATTGGCACGAGTTTCATCAAATCACATGAATGTTAGTTGTTATCCTACAAATTGATTTAAACCCCCTAATGTTCACCCTCAAGCATCTTGTTTCACTCCTAAGAATGGCACATATGTGAATGAAGCGTTCTAATGTTAAAGCTGTGGCTTGTTCAGAGTTCATTTGGATCTAAGTTAAAGATCTCTCTTCCTCTTTATTTGCCTGTCACTAAAGCCTGAGAGGTGACAGACAGCCCACCCTCTGCTGCAGACACTTCTCCTTGTTCACGACATACACAAGCCTGCAGAGAGACACATCAGCATTCACAAACATATTCTCTTTTGATGTCATCATGCGCTGCTTGCTGGCTGGATGCTTCGGACTCGCTTTAATCAATATCTCAGGTAAATGTAAACTCTTCGTACAAGCTCAGTTTAGTTTAATTTGTAACTAGAAAATGGAAATGATGCAAACTTTATATGGTGCTAAATACTTACACTTGTGAAGCGCTGAATGTTATAACAACACTTAAGATTTCATAATGTTATATGCAGTTATTCAATTCTACTATTTATGGCCGTTTAACCAATGCATACAGTTGTTTTGCATGTTATTTTTGACTCCACTGTACCATTACTTCCTGGCCATCTGGCGAAAAGAGGAAGTTGTCTTCTGAGACAAATAATTGTTATTCTAATATACAGTATACTCGCAACAAAACTGACCATCAAGTAACTTTATTTGAGACCTGTTTTTTTATTTTAGATACATATGTGTGTTACCCTTGACATTGACTAATGTTTGATGTAAATTCATGCAGATTTTAGACTGTTTTAACAGATGCATTAACCGTGTTATCCTACACCTTGTCCTTACATTATTTATACAAAACACCCATTCAACTGCATGATGGTGATGACTTAGATTACATGTACCAAGATTGCTACTATTATTATTTTGTTGAGGAGTAATCTCACTTTTTAGACAAATAGAATGCTTGTTGAATTGTGAAGTAAGGACAACAAATGTACTCAGAAGCAAAGATGACCTTTTTCAAAATATCAAATTTGCAATTATATAAAAGCAAATTAACATTTCAGAAGCTGGAATAAGCATATTTCTTTCTTGATGAATGGCCTCAATTATTATCAAAATTGTATTTGATTAATTTTAATCGACTAAGTTTAAGTGATGTATTGGTTCAGATCCGACCTATGAATCGTTGGTTTGCAATAACTCCAATGTTGTCTTCTTGTCTAACTGTCTCTACAATGAGAGCAGAGAACTGACAACCCTTCTTTAGTTGCCAGCTCTCAAACATGAAAGCTTGCTGCTTTGGATTTGAAGTTTCTGTAAAGTTATTATTTTCGTTTAAAATAAGCAGTGTTGGGCTCTGGGGACTCGTGTTTTTTTTCCTTTTTGGACATTTGATTGACTAAATTAGGATTAAGGATTAAATTAAAAAACACTCACCGATATATAATAAAATTACCTGCAACCCTTTTGATTTAACATTATCATCACTGCAAGCAATGGCACTTTTGATACCTACACCATGTTTGAGTTTTACAATAACCTTAACCTTAACCCTGATCCTTCTATTGCCTGCTCAGTGGCCCTAAACGCTGACGTGCCGATCTCCCAGAAGCCCCGGTTCTATGGAGTGAATGCCGGACGCAATGTGAGCATTTGCTGTCTGTGCTCCAAGGAGCTCCAGTCAGCCAATGCAGAGTGGTACAGAGTGGATGAGTACAACACTGACGTGGATCAAAATAACTGGATAAAAGCAGAAAAGAAGTATACATTTCTTCACTCCCGTGAAAAAAACCATTTCTTTCTCGTCATCCATGATGTGCACTTGGAGGACAGCGGGGTTTACTTCTGCAAGATAAATAATACATTGGGACCTGGAACTGCAGTCCAAGTAGCGAGTAAGTATCTGGGACAATATGTGTTGTGCAGAATGCAGACACATGATGCAATGATGCAATCTTCCCTCTCACAGGATCTGGTGGTGTTAACCAGGCAAGGAGAAGCAAGATGAAGGATGCTCTCATCATCCTCCAGGGCCTGTTGTTGGCTGTGTGTATCGCTGCTGTACTGCTACGCAAACACCAACAGGTGAGAAACAAGATGCACATAACATTAAACAATATATTTGCTTTACCAATTGACACTGCTGTATGTGTTACAATGGCAAACAGCTGTTGATGTGCATAACAAAATCGAGAAAGTAACTGCTTGTTTATCTGCTTATTCTTTCTATCTTTGGATTTTTTGAATTAAACAGATTTCTACATGACTATAGACACAATATGTTGACAGGTGTACCTGTACTACAACTGACTATGGTCATAAATCTGTATAATATTCCTGATTAATCAATTAATCTTTAACAAGTTCCCAGATACCCAGTCTTCTTCACATTGCCTGTTTGTTTCTCTTATTTAAAAAGATAGAATCCCTGAATGTTTAGCCTTTTTGGCATGTTTATGAAGAGTGTTATTCCAGATATATAGATAGATAGATAGATAGATAGATAGATAGATAGGGGTTTTGTTTTTGTGATAAAAGGACGACCAATGTCATGGCATCCTTTAATTGTTAGCTTAATGATATAAACAAACGCTATGATGACCCTAGGGTCCCGTGTTCCCCAGTTCAATATCTCCTTAAAATCACAGATTCAGGAGACATTTCAAAAGGTTTTATGTTCTCACCAAAGCTTTCCCTATGTCAAATGTTTGTTCCCCTGGGCCAAAGTGTTGATATCACCCACCTACAGTTTATAGGCTGCAGATGTAATACAATTTGAATCCTATGGCTTAAATGTATTGAATTTAGACATTGATATCTCCACAGTTGCTCAATGGATGCAACTATTGAAACTGCATTTGAAACGTTCATCTCCCTTCATTTGTTTGCTATTTGAGCCGCAAAAGTTAGCCCATTTCTTAACAAGTAACAGGTGTACTGAAAGAATGCACATCATCTATTTTAAAGCAGCAAATAAAAGATTTGAATGTTTCCTGATCTAATGTTAGATCACTTAGCATGTTTATTATTTTTTGTTATATATAATATTTTGGTCCTAACTCAAATGTTCATTTTTTTGTGTGTCTTTTTATTTTTTAAACAGTTGGAAAAGAAGGACAGTATATATGAGGAACCTGAAGTTGACCACATCTATGAGGTTTGTTTGAATATTGAAATGTTATATTAATATGCATCGAGCATTCAGATCCTTAATACCAAACTGTGAAATGAAAGTCCTGGATATAAAACTCACTATTATATCTGATTTTCTGGATTCATATTACTGCTGCTTTATACCTCTTGGATTATCATATGTTTAAAACCGTTGCTATTCTTGCTACTTTGTTTTTCTGACCAAACCGCACCACTGAGCTCATAACCAAATTTTTATCTGATTCAGTCAATGCAGCTCCCAGGGTTGTTTTTTTAATGTATTTTTAACATATACTTTAGTCTGAACTTTAGTTTGCTTTTTCTAAGAATAATACATATGGAATTCAACACGTGTGGCTTGAATATACGTATATGTTATGGCTAGAGGAAGAACACCTCTGACACAAAAATTGCTTAACATACAAGAAAAGAAGAAGCAATAGAAAGCCTACAAATGTACATAAAGTCATGAAAGAAGTTTAGAGTATTTTATAACAGAGCTTCTAGATTTATAAAGATTAGATTTTGATAGACACTTTAAAAACACCATTGACTTTTTTTGTATAAGCATTTTGCAAAAGCTGTTATTGATTCTGAGACTTTTGGGGATTATTGAGGCATTTGAGGCATTGACTCAAGCCTTTTTGTAAGAAACCCATAAACAAGCTTGTCTTTTGGACAAAAACAATGGTGTGACATGCTGTTTGAAAATGACAGAATGACAGAGAAGGCCCGAAAAAATATAATAAAAAATGCTGCCCAAAGGTCCATCGATCATTAGCTGCATTTCTGGTCGGGAGCAGAGATGTTAAATATATTTGAATGCTGACTGCTCTTCTGTAACCTTTAGCAGCTGCTTTTCTTTATCTTTGAGTCATGTCTGAATGGCTGTCTATGCAAATCAAAGCCAATGTACCCACACATAGGCATAAGATTCCCCAAGACTAGCACACACATACACACACGTATACATGCTCAGTGTGTTAAAAGTGACTTATTTCTGTCTCTTAGGGCTTGATGATTGAGACGTGTTCTGGAGGTGTGTACGAGGAACTCTCTGTGTACGCACAAGCTGACGGAGACGACTCAGCCGAGGCCCCATGGGAGTGAAGCGCCTCACAATAACTTTATAAAGTACAAATGATACTTTAAGAGCCCTTTATGGAAGTTGGTCATTTTTCTATGGTACCAGTTTGTTTATAAGTGTGCAACTGCATGTTTATTCTAAAAGACTTGCTATATGTGTTGTTTATTTGATGCTATTTAGTAGTTTGAAGTCCAGTGAAGTGTAAAGGAGCCATTCTACAATTCAGACTTCTTGTTGGTGCTTTAAGACGCTTTTATAAATACAATAAGTGTTATTTCATACAGTACTCTGACTTTAATATCTGCTTGATAATAGGTGCAGAAATGTGTTTGTGTATAATACAATCTGAATGTAATGAAAACCAATAAAAGCTTTGTCAAGTTGCTTGAAAAGGACTTTTATTTTTGATTGGCTTTTGCAGGTAAAAAAACAGACAAAACATGAATAAATAGTTAACATAAATTGATCAACAACATAATTACTTTACCAATAATTAAATACATGAGTACAAAACTCAATAAATAAGCAATAAATAAATAAATAGATAACAGTAGGATTTTAACTGGTGAGGGCAGATGAAGCTCTCATGTAGCTACAATAAAAAACTCAATCATTTTAGCCAAATAAATAGATATTTAAATACATATTTAAATAAATAGCATGTAAGCAAATAAATTAACACAAGGCCAATGTCTGACAGATATTAGTTGGTGAGAAGAGAGTAACACAGCAGGTCTGCTTTGTAAATAAATACAAAAATAACCAAATAGTTAAATAAATAGATTTGTTAATATATAGATAAATAAATAAATAGATGAATCGATATTTTTCGGTGAACAAAGGAGGCCAGCTTGTCTGCTCTTATGCTGCTCAAATTATCTATAAATACATAAACAACTCAATAATCAGATATATATATTTTTTAAATAAATAGATAAATAAATAGAAAATAAGCAAATAAATTAACACATGGCCAATGTCTGACAGATGTTAGTTGGTGAGATGAGAAGAACACAGCAGGTCTGCTCTCACAAGATGGGTTTTCATCTCCTTCCTGATCAGCTCCCAGGCTTCAGCACTGTGGTCCTGCACACAGAAGAACATCATCATTATTAAAACATGTTGGATATATAGATTAGATTAATTGATTGATACATACAGTAGGCGGACTTACCATTGGCTTCAGGACATGGCTTGACAGTCTCTTGAAATACATCTGTATCTTCTTGTTCTTCCTCTTGTGGCTGTGGCTCCCGATCTAAATGAATGAAAAAGTTATTATTTGATCATTTTCATCAACAGGATGTAAGTAAAAGAGACATGGGGGGTATACTACGAATCTAGTTCAACCTATCCTGGATATGTTTTGAGTTATCCGGTTGACTTAATCCAAAACAAAGCCGCTCTAGGATAGGTTGAACTAGATTCGTAGTATACCCCCCATGTCTCTTTTACTTNCGAAGCAGGATAGGTTCCAGGATAAGAGATCAACTCAGCGAAAGCACCACGCCTGCTGACCAATCAGAGCTCAGTGTGCGGAGGAAATACAGTTTAAACTGCCTTTGCAGGAAAGACGGCCGGCCAAAATCACCGCTGTGTGAACGTGAAAATGAATAGAATATCACCTCCCATCAGAGCAATCGGACTATTATAACTATTATTATAGCCTACTATTATGTTAAGAAAGCTTAATTAAATATCTGCCACAACATAAGTAACCGGATCAAAGTAACATTACGTAGCCTAGTCCGCGGCACTGTTAGTGCAGACGTCGATGTGTCACATTATCATTCATCATATCACATGCATCAAAATGTATCATATATTTCCTTATCTGAGTCAGCCGAGCCGTATCTGGCCGTGCAACACTCACAGTGTCACATACTGTATGCAGAAGTATTATTATAAGGAAGACATTAAGTTGACAAAACACTCGAGTCAAATGTAATTAAAGTCAGATCCACTCGTGTATTAGATGGGGCAGTGATATCATAAAACTGTTAATGTACGCATTCAAACACTTTTTCTTTTACCAGCTGTATTCACCTTGCAGGTGCAGCTATGTTGCTTTTATCCTGGATAAAGTGTTTAAGTCATGGATGTTTAAAGTTTAATTTCTTCATATTTGTCTAATATTATAGTTGACTTGACTTGTAATTCAGGAAGTGTGACGCTGCGCTGTCAGTACGCTTCTCCATGTTTGTGATTGTTCGAATGCTCCAGATACCACCCCTTTCATGTGAACGCGCACCTGACTAGATGGGACACGGCTGGCTTGAGCGAACGAGTTGATAGCCATCGTTGTAGGACAGTTTAGCGAGAGCGGCTTTGTTTTGGATTAATTCAACCGGATAACTCAAAACATATCCAGGATAGGTTGAACTAGATTCGTAGTATACCCCCCATGTCTCTTTACTTACATCNAACGCATGTAATACTGAACACGTAACATGAACGTGCCGGGTGGCGCGGTCCCGTGGGTTAGATGCTCGCTCATAATGCAGAGGGAAATAACTCTCAGAATAACGTTATTAGCACATTTTACAACTTGAGTATCGAATGTTTTTAATAAGGGCTATACAAACGTTCATACTGGGTAGTTTATTTAGTTTAAAAAAAATTATCCAACGATTTACAGACCACTCTTTCCCAATGTAAGTCAATGGGAAAAAGTGTTTTCGGACCCAGCCACCTAACGGAAGTGTAGTACCGCCGTTTGGCCACAAAGAATATTCTCATCAGAGTCCGGCGCACTTTCTGGGGGCTTGGTGGGAACAGGTGGAAACAATCAGGGGCGGGGCAGAAGCTGACGATGGCGGGAAAAGGGGAAAACATACAAAGGGAGGAAGTAACAGGGCCTGGAATGAGAGACAAGAGGTAAGTACAAAAATAAAATAGGAAATAGAAAACTAGACGTGACATAAATAGACAGACATGACATGACGTGAAATAACATGAAAACCTGACTTGACATAAATACCTGACTAGACTTGGAATGACAGACAAAATACATAAACATAACTAACACATTTGACGAGACACAACACATTGCCAACGACTCCCAAAACAAACTCTGTCATCAGCAGTGGCGGGAGCACGCTGGTGGCAGAGTGCCGTTATATTTGCATCTCATGTTGAGTTATATGCTGCCTTGCTGCCTGTAGATGAGACAAATAACCCCTTCAAGGTTTTTCTGCATCATAAAGCGAAACGTCTACATGAAAAAAAGTAGTTGTGGTTCGCTGCTTTACAGGAAGCCCTGTGGTTCTGCTTTTTTTTTATCAAATGTTGACACAAGGGATGATTAATTCCTTTAGAATGTAACAAAGGAGTGGCTAATTACATCAAACAGAAAATAAACATTACGGGCTCACAATATTGTTGTATTTGAAAACCCATTATTGTTGTAACCTTACATTCTTCTTCTTCTTAATGCTTTATTCTTCAATTAAAAACAATTCACTTGAAGATAGTCTTAAATACACCTTTTCCTGGTAGTTAAAACACATTTTTGCAGTAAGAAAGCACCTTCATTTCAAAGGCTACAGGCCCTATTTTGCAGAACTAAAACCCCTGTTACTGCATCTTTTTTCTAGTCTTTTATTTTATTTCAGCATTCGATATGCTGAAATAAAATAAAACAACACTTTTGAAATCATTTTACTTTCTTAAGTAAATGTTCAGAGGTCATGTCAGGTCAGTGCAAGTCGAATGAAATGTTGAAATAAAACATATAAAGATATCATGAACAACATATTTACATACCTTTACAAATATGTGTATATTTTGCTGTTTTTTATTTAAGACCTGGGAAGTATGTAGATGATCTGTTCAGACTGTCTGCAACATATTATACATTTAAACCTATTGTACAATAATGAATAAGAGCAAACAGTTTATAAAAAAGGGTCTTGATCAGCTAACCCAACAGCTATACAGTTTTTGTGAGAAATAGCTGCAGGTACAAAAAGCATCATGCATTTACATCGCTGTTATTCACCACTTTTAGGACCATGAGACAATCATTTGTGGCCGGATAAGATGAAATAAAAAAAATCATGTTTGCACGCAAAGAGTTTCACTTATAAATAACCAGGCACCAGTTCCTCTGCATTAGTATCTTTGTATCTTAGTATTTCAAACCTGTTTCTGATTATGATTGCAAATGTTATTATTACTCTGATGCTGTTGGAGTTGTTGTATAGCTTTAAGTCTAAGGTGAAAGCAGATACGAAGAAAGTGAAGAAATTTGAAATGTCTGACGAGATTTAGGTTCAGCGTTGTAGATAAATGGAAATGTGTCCAACAATCAGGCAAATTCATCACTTCAGCAGAGAGTCCTGCGCAAATTCATCACTTCAGCAGAGAGTCCTGCGTTGGTCATGTATAATGTTTGTTTTTTGTTCCCATTTGAAAAGTGGTGCAGTGACAAGTCCTAAAACCCGGAAGTGAGATAGCATTTTACCACTACCGGTTCCCTCGTCTCCGAGTCAATGGGATTTCTCCATAGGATTTGGGGAAATAGCTCGAAATAAGGTCTGTGGCAGTGGCGGCGCTAGGGGGTGAAATTTTTTCTGAAAGCCCCGGATGTTTCACTTTAAAAAAAAAAAAATGCTAAAATGCAGGATCTGTTTGGTATTTTGAAAAAAAAGCTATATTTTATATAGGTATGGCCCTACAATATATTGTTCAAATATAGCATGATATGGTCCCTTTAAGGTATTATTAAGGTAGGGTTAATGTTGCTCTCAAAGTGCACCAGATTGATGCTTTTAACTTCAATATTTTAAAAAAAATCTGCCCCGGCACACAGGGGATAGGCATTTTAACACAACGAAAAGGAGCAAAAATTTGTTTTTTTGAATTTTTATGTAAATTTCTCTACCAAATGTTTAGTTTTGTGTTTGTAACCCTGGACGATAAAGCACCCGACCGTCCAGATTAAGAGACCAGCAACCCCTACCGAGTAGCCCCTCCCGTCCGGCTTCCCCTTTCGAACCGTCCCGAATGAAAAGGGGGCCCTTGTGGCTCCAGCCAAATTCCTAGACCTGGTGGCCCCCCTCCATAGGTCCTTTACCCGGTACTCCCACCGTTTCCTGTAGGGAAGGGGGCCTTAAACCCCCCCCCGTCCCCTGCCTTTGCTCCTATCCTTGGTACCCTTCCACGGGTCCCAAATCACTTTCCGAAATATTAAATTAAAATTAATAATATAATTGTATTCGAGACTTTCTTTTTTTTTTATCTCGGCACCGGGGGTTTTCCACTGAGTACCTCAAGTAGAATACAAAAATTCATCACATCACTCCACACATAACCACAAGTTATTTTTATATATTTGAGATATCTATATATAAAAAACACACACAGGACGACCCACAACCTTAAGTTGTCT